ATATATATATATTAAAAATTTTATAGTAGCAGACCACATATAGCGTCGTAATTAGCATAATCCTAGGCTGCCTCGAGGTCTCTGTAACTTACAACTGTTAGTTTATATACAAACGCAATTACATTTTGGTCTAACAGTTGTAAATTACAGAGATCTCGAGACAGCCTAGGTTTATGCCACTTATTTAACTTTGGAAAATTCCGACTATATTCCACAGGTGCATAACTATTTAAGCAACGAAACCAGGTACTCTAACATCTTCGCTCGTTTCCTCGATATTTGACGAGCTTGACCTACTTCGTCAACGGAGCCTAGCTCTCAAACCCGTAACAATCAGTACATTAAAGTGATCACCTTGCCAAGCAGTATATACCCTTCTAATTATGCCATCAGACTGGGTTAAAAAATTGTTAAAAATTTTATCTCGCGTACAACGTTAATCTAGATTTAATTCGAAACCAGTTCTGTAAAATGATAGAAAATTAAATCGACACACGTATCGTATCCACATAGTGATTAATCGTCCAATCTATTTAAAGAGAAAATTTCTAATAACGCAAAATAATTTCCGAATAAAATGAACGACCTGCACCACTTTCATAATTATCGGCGCACAAATGCTTTTCTCATCGATAAGCTTGTGTTTGACATGTGATTAACCTCACCTAACCTGACCTAATCGATACGTCCTTAGCCTAACGTTGGAGACCGTCTTTATATCTAGATTTACTTGCACACGTCGCAGTAGAGATGTACGTATAAAGCTGAACACTGAGGATGTTGGATTAAATATATATTGTACGGTACTCAAACAGCTTTGTCTTCGAGTTCCTTGTTGGCAGAAGCACCCTGTATATGCGGAACGGACGAATGATCAAGATTAGAGTTTAAGCACTGAGAATTAGAGGTTAAGGATTGACAGACGTAGACAAATGGGGACATTAGGGCACCGTAAGCACGGCGTATAGTACTACCCTGACAATATAAGAAGTGAAACATGAAGTCAATTTAGGATAAAATTGAAGAACTTAATAAATCGTTATATCAAGGAAGTAATAGTCGGTAAAATTTATAAGAGTCCTAACTTTTCGTGTCTTGCTCATAGCTAGTTCACAGTGCTTGTGATTTCTGTGTATTTCTGTACCTTTTCCTAAGTCTCAGCTCCTTAGCTACTGTGGGCGCATATACGCGCTCAGAAATTTTGCTTTTGTGACACGGAGGGCGCATATAACAAACGACAAAGCAGTGCTGAGTATTGCCATCATCACAGTTCTGTAACCGTTGGATTAATTTGTTCACTGATGACATAAATTCCACAGCAATTCTAGAATAATCAATGTATAGATCAGTTATGCTCAGCACAGTTTGCTTTTCTGACACGGAGGGCGCATATAAGCGCTCAACACAGTTTGCTTTTCTGACACAGAGGGCGCATCTCTACCTAAAATTTTGCCGTTCTCGGCGGACATTGTAAATGAATTCCTACCCGTGTGGTACAACCGGTGCGTTTCAAAGTCTGCCGTAGTCAAAGGGTTAAATAACAACTGTTGTTGCGTCCTGAACACTGCAACTCGCTTGAGGAGCTTCGCGGGGTTGTAAGGCCCGTTTACCTGCTCTAAATTAATAGAGCTAGGCCTGGTTATGGTTGAACTACAGAGAGTTCTATAGTAGACTGTTTCCTGCGCTTAGTTGTTGATGAGTCTCGATGATGATAGTATGGTCATGATGATTGACCGGTCTTCTTAGTATCTTTAGGAGAACTCTGGTCGTGACTGCTCTGTCGGTGGTTTTATAATCTTCGCCTGTCTATTGATTGGTTGTGAATAATATTGGTGTGTGCTAGCTTCAACGTCTTTAGGTGGTGATGGTTGTTTAAACAATTTGGGTCCTCGTGCCTGTTTACCCAAATGATAGCTTAGGTGAGAATAAGTGTATAGAAAGTGTATAGTGTATGACTTCTAAAGTGTATAGAAGTCAAAGGACGCTGGTAATAAGGACATAAAACAGTCTTCCACTTGACCTGGGACATTGTGGTCCTACAACAGCAACAACTGTGCTGAATAAAACAATCGTATACAGATTGTATTTGTATACGCATCATTTGGAGGCTGGATATAAGGAGTGCCCGTACCCAGGAGTCATCGCGTGGGTACCAGAAGTCACCATAGGAGTCGCCACATTCGTTTCGTCCCTAGAATATTGGGTTCCAAATGTTACGATAGGTACGCACCTGCATGCGAAGAGTGGTGAGATTCATGAAGCGTTTTAATTTCATCACGTCGTACACAGCGTGGTATTTCTGCTCGAGGTTGAACCAGCCTTTGCCAAGATCCCGTAAGCACATCCTCACCGATTTCGTAATTTTCTCCAACCACGGCTCCTTCAGGTACTTGATAACAGTCACGGTGGTCTGAATTTGCAAATCTTCGAATTCTGACAACGTTAATTGTTTCCCGTACGACGTGGCGAAAAGATTCATGGAAGACACTTGCGTGCACTCCTTCTCGATGCACACCATCGCGTCGTACACTTCTTCGTGAACGTACAGTGATATCCAATGACTGTACTTCTTGACTTTCTAAATAACATTATGATCGTTTTGATAAATGAGCATTTGAAAAGTGATTTTTGAGACACCCTATATAAGCATACTCAATTCTCTGATTAAACAGTTAAATACGAATAATTATTTGATCTTCCCAATTGTAGGATACTAACTTATGAAATTTAACGCATTTCACGCTTCATGATTGAACGTAAAAAGCTATTAAACCGGTATTTAATTAGAACCCAGATCAACTTCTCTCACTAAACGTAATTAGTGATCCAATTTATTTCATGTTACAAGAAAATTCGCTGAAACTTTGTTAGCTGTAGATTACAAAATGTCAAACAAATGTCTAACAAATTTCTCGCAGAGTTTCTAACAATTTGTTTTCTTCTAATTAAAATATAAATTGAATCATTTTGCAAATTACTTTTTACTATTTAAAACTTCGTTTCACAGTAATTGCATAATAATTGAAATAATTACTGCTTTATGTTGACAAGGAAAAATAATGCTAAGTAAAATTGTAAAATATAAAGAAAATTCCACTGTAGTAATGGTAAAATAAAACTCACTAGCGTAGAATGCAAATGAAAATTTACGATTCAAAAATCTGTCACGTTATATTTTTAACGAGTCATAATTAAGACAAACAGCTTTTTCCTGTTATGTCTATATAAAATTTCAAAAATAGTTCACGAAAATTGTATCGAAGATTAAAAATTTGCCTTCCACCGTGAATTGATTAAAATCAATGAAGTAATTGTAATATATGAATAAAAATGAAACGATTGAACAATTTTTAATTAAAATTTATAGAAAAGGTTACAAAGGTTGCATCGAAAACTAAAAATTTTACAAACGTATTTTAATACATCAATAAAAATGGTATGATTGAACAATTTTTAATTAAGATTTATATAATATTATATATAATCCAGTCGGTATAAATATATTTCAAAATTTTATAAACATATTTACTCTTGAAATAAATAATCTTCAATAATTATATAATATAAGTTATTATGATATATCTATTTAATATGAATTATTTAATAAACCTGTCTTTTAAGTCACATAGATACACTTTCTATATATTAATAAAGAATACTTGCAAAATCAAGTAACGTTAAATAATTTCAATTTAATAATTAGTAAAATGAAATAAAAGAATATTTTAATCTTTCAGATGTATTATAGATACAGTTTTACACAAGATAATGGAATTATGGAAATATTTAATTAAAATATTTTCGAAGTACTTTTTTTATGCTTAATTAATTTTTTCTGTATGCAAAGGGAGTATCAACGAGAACAGATATATTACCAGAAAGTTTTTCATGCCAGTATCGATTTTGCCTTTTTCAGGAACCCTCATGGGCTCCACGTCAGGCGTCCACGTGATGAATTTAAACATTTCCGGATTTAGCTGTATCATCTGCCTCCACATGAGGTCGCACATTGTCCGCTGATAATCCAAGCAAACTTCTTCCATCAGCTAAAAAAGGAATTAATTATAAACAATTCGCATGTATAAAAATTAAAATTAAATATACGTTTGCAGTAAAATTCTGTAAAGAAAATTCGTATTCCATTTCCAGAGAAATGGGACTGTAAAAATAAATACTACTCCGAGAGTATTATCCTCGAAATTTAATTTTAGTTATATATATAAACGTTAATTATATATTCACAGTAAAATTCTGTAAAGAAAATTCGTATTCTCTTTCCGGAGAAATGGGACTGTAAAGATAAATGCTACTGAGAGAGTATTATCCTCAAAATTTAATTTCAATTATAATAAACCACGTATTATGAGATTACATTAGGTTACATTGATTATAGATTATTATACTGGTCCATTAGATCCATTAATTTTGAATGGAAAGGCGTTCGATCGTGATCGAAGAAACCACGGGGCAGATAATTAACGTGTTACGGTATTGGCCTATTATCATTCTCAGAGGCTTCACATGAATTATGGCTGTCTTGGCTACACATTAAAATTTCCATTTTAGTCCGTATATATACGAACATAAATTTCCAAACTAATGCCTTATAAATATATATACCGTGTACTATGTCCTAAGTGGAGGTATGAAGGAACGCGTCAAGTATTAAAATTTAATTATAGCATGTTCACTATAGATATTTAAATCAGTCCTTGGATTTGGTACACGAATTTTTGCGAAACTTGCTACGTACCGACATTATTTTCGCGTGTTTCAATTTCGAGCTATTCGTAATCAAGCGAATAATATTTTCCTTTTGATCCTCGCTCAGGGTTTTCATTCCATCCATTTGCATGCAGTCCAAATAAAAATTGTACCTACGAAAACATGTGCAGTAACATTATTATAAATATCAAAAAATTGGAAAACTTGGAAACTTCCAAAAATTATTAACAGTTAATAAGGATAGCACTGATTTAACCGTATTTACCTAAGGCTATATAATTTCCACGATTTTCAATAATTTCGTTAAAATAAAAATTGGAAATATTCCTCAAATATAAATAAATCTAAACCCGAAAACTGCATATCAAAATCTATCACGGTTTCCTTACAAAAATATCCCAAAGTGGTCGATTTTTATTGACCGGATTACAAGAATATATTACATGTATCGGGTGTCCCTAAATTCTCAAGATAAATATGATTTTACCGCTTTACCGCACGAATAACGCAAAACTCGAATCTTGCGTGAATTTTGGGACACCCTATATAAGACAGAAAAACTTATTTGTTCGTGTTATAACATAATTTCACGTTCTAAAAATTATGAATAGTATAATATAACGTAACAAGATAAATTATAAAAATAAATTTATAGTTAGTTATAAACATTTACTTTATGGAAGATTCAGCAATTTCTCTCTGTTCTATGGCTGCCGCTAGTCTATTGGCGAAAGTTCTAGGATCTTCAGCGAAGAATCGTATATATATCCTTGGTAACTTGAACTTCCGTTTTCTGCCGTCAAGTGTCAGCACACTCCACAATTTTCTCTTGTGATCGAATTGAGTGACTGCAGCGTTAGTCCAAGAAAAAAGATTATTTAAATGATCGTCATCCAGGGAGAACACCTCGTCCTCGGATCGGAATCTTGGGACAAAGACAGAAGCTGGTAACGGATGGAGCTTCTCGTCTATAATTCCGAGATTTATCCAGTCTTCCGTTGTTCTACAAGGAGTTCGAATAAAGGTAAATAAATGGTGTCCTAAAATTCACATAAGATTCGAAACTTTGCAATAGGAGGCCATTTTTTCCCTGTGGATATAGGTTTATTAATTGAAAAAATTACAAATTTCGAAGCAGTAAAAATAGAAAAGAATTTCCTTCGTATACCTGCAATCATACTCTTCATCGTCAAAAATTTCTAGAGGCAAGAAGTGTGCGGTACTAAACAAGCCGTATGTTTCCTCGTGGGATAGTAGAGGCAATATGGCGGACGAAGGCAGCATATCCTTTGGTGAGACGCCAATTGACTCCAAGGCGTCCTGGATTTTTAAGTACCTGTACGATCTTCGCCTCCTTTCCATCTCAACGATCCGTGGAATTTGCTTGGAATGCACATTTTGTTGCATTTGCACTTTGGGAAGGAACGTTTGTGCGAGAAAGGCCTGTTTAATTTAATTTAATTTAATTTCTTTTTCTTCTTTTGTTCATTGTGTAAATTTCAATATAAAACTATACTAATTCAAATATGAATGGAGTTTTATATTTCAATTAATAGGATTTAACGAAAATCGTATTTTTTTTAGGAAATCAAATTTTTATAGAAAATCTCGTTTTTGGTATACACAAAATAACGGGAATTGCAGACAAATGTAAATATGGTGAGTAAATAAATAACGAAAAATATTTTTTAATATAAATTTAATATTTGTATTTAATTTTCTCAGTCGAATTATTTGTTTTATTCGATTCGATAAATATTTCATAGAAACTTTCCATAAGGGATTTTAAAATAGCATTTACTTTTTTTTCCAATAATTTTTCAATTCCTTATTGTGCATTCTTATTGTAATATGATTTTAGCATTTGAGAGAAGTTTACATAAATTATCTGTAAAATTCGACTAATAATGCAATATTAATTAAGTATGTAAAATTAATAATTCAAATTTATTTTAATATTTATCTAAACACGAATATTTCATTTTATCTTTGCTTTCTTTTTCAGTATTTAATTTGTCCGGAATTTAGAAAGAATAATGTACCAAACTTTTCATGCGATGAGAAAAAAAAATTGATTACTCACAATTGATCGATCATCTGGAAAAGTCATCCATCTTTTAGCTTCGCCGAGAAAATTGTGTGTTTCCTGATCCTGTAATTGTCTCACACGAGCGGAATGATGCTGAGTGAAAACTTGCCATGTGAGTTTTGTTCTTCGTGGTGCAGTTGTCAGACGATCTACTGCCGGTTTTACAGGATGTTCCGGAGTTCCTATGCGATAATTATTTCAGTATTAATCGTCTGTCGATAAATGATCGTAATTTTAACATATTTTTTAAAAATTAGATTAATTATTTATTTTATCAAATATATTTTATATGTTATATAATATACAACTATTCTAAATGACGTTAATTATGTAAATATACACAAATGAAAATAATTATTAATTAATTAGCATCTTTTCTTATGAATTATCTCTGTTGTATAATTATATAAGAATGTTATATATTTTGTTTATAAAATTGCAATTAATGACATCAAAATATTATATAGACCCTGAGTTTGATAAGAACTTTAATTAAAATAGTATTAATTATGTACCTGTCACTATTTCGGAATAGTAACCTCTGCTTTTAATCTCCGAATCGTCCATATTTATAATTGTAATATACTCTATTTTATATTCGCAAATGAAACCGTATTTTTACAATTTATATACACATTAACTGTTTAAATATTAAACAAATAAAATATTTAATATTTTATTAATGTTAAACGTAATGTAAAATATATAGGAAGTATCATTTTTAGTATTCGATTTAGCATTAACTATTGTTTTCAGAAATGTTTGCTATGAATTTCGAGAACAGTCAATTACTGATTCGATTAATATTGTTTGTTAATAGTTAGTCAAATCAAATTTATATTACTGATTGAACAATTTTTTTGTGAAAATAGATTATTAATACATTAAAACGCAAATTTGTTCACGAAATAAGTATATAATTTTGAAAATAATTATACTTCAGTGTAGATTAATTGGGAAACTAATATATCTACAAAATTCTTTATTAACGATTGTTGGTCATAGAAATTTTTAAATTAAAACTGCTTTGCGAAAGATGCTTTATCCGTAATGTCGCGTGTAAAAAGAATTGCAGAACACACTAGGTATAAAGACTAAAATTTAATTTTAATTCCGACCACTAAAAACTTAATTTTATTCTACTTTGAATCGATAATGTAGGGAATGATAAGGGAGTCTTCAAGTCTCTAAAACATGCAACAGAAAAATGCATCGAGTGACGTATCTATTCTTTTTTTCGTCTATGCTTATATTTCATCTGTATCGTATTATTTACAGTGATAAATAATTTTCCTTGTCTGAAATCGTACATTCTGTGGTGGCATATGTGAGCACAGATGTAATCCAAGACAGATATATTTTTTATTTTACAATTTACTAAATTGTGTTTCCATATCTTAATAACATGTCCAATGTTACCGATTCAGCATAGAGTAATATTACAATACTAGTAATAACTTAAATTAAAACCGAATTTACATGTGAGATGACTTGCAGTTTTACTATTGATATTTATAAATAACATACTATAAGCTGTTTTATAGTTGCAAACGCGATATAGAACTCTTATAATTGTACTATATAATATGATTTAAAAATGCATCGAGTGTTAGATCTATTTTATTTTACGTTTATGCTGTTATATACATCATACAGTACTGTGTTTTAGCCACTCAACGAATCGTACGGTAGGTGCTGCCACCTATACGTATTTTCCAAACAATTATCATCTATTATAACATTTATTTCAGAATATTGCAATCAAATTAATTTTGCAAAGCACTTATTGATACGTAGCAATGATAGAATAGTACAAAAATTTATTTTAAATAAAAAAATAGATGTTTGCCGCAACTAAAATTACTAGTTAAATTTTATAAACGAGTAATATATAAACGTTATTTATAAATATTCTATACAATAATATAATATATATATAAATGCACAAGTGATAATGATTTTGCAATAGAATAATAAAATAACATGCAATAAGTAATCATCACATTCTGTACATGGATTCGACATGTGTTACCGACTCGGAATGTTTTACCATCTGTCTATCACATAGCCAATGGTTGTGCCGAGAATTATTCGTAAGCGAATACGCGCGGTAGGTACTACCCTCTGCAGTCAGGTATCAAAACGGGGGTGTGCGAGTGAGTTCGTTTCTCGACGTCGACTGATCAGCTGTGCGGTTTAAGTTGGACTTTTCCCTTGTGGTGTGGTGTCGTGCACATTCGAAGTCTTTCGCTCGATCGGCATAGATCTGTGGGATCGTGTACCGAGGATAGGACACAAGCTGAAGCATAAATACAGAGACGATACTACGCGGTGGCGGCGATAAATCGGTAGTATTTTCTGGCGAAGGGGGGCAAGTGAGGCATGACGGGAACAGGTGACAATAGAGCTTCGCCATGTTAGATTTTACGAGATCGCGAAACGTGCGCCGCTGCTGCTGCTGCTGCTGGTGCTAGTGGAGAGAGAGAGAATTTATTTTGTTTTCTCGACTCTCGTGCTACTTTCCTCAGCGGTGATCCAACTGAAAATCATCCAAGCTGGATAGGTTACCCGAGTATCTCCGCGATACCGTGGACTGGTTTATGGGGTAAGTGTTTTCGAGCGAAATTTTCACGTTCGGCAACGATTTTCTCGAGAATTACCAGAGGCACCGAATAAAGGTTAACCTCGACGTTCGTTTACGGCCTAACCTCCCCGTCGAGGTTGACGCTCTCTCGTTCCGATTCGCTACTTCGTCTCGCTCTTAATAATCGCCTTGTCTTTTCCCTTTTTGTGAGAGAAAGTAATCGCGAAGACTTTTCGTGTCACTGTGGAATCGTGTCGTGTGTTTTTACGCGCGATGTCAGTCTGAATATCGTCCGCTACCGTCGCGAAAATAACGCATGGAGAGAACGCCGTCGTTCGAGCGCACAGTGTTGCCCCATTCCGCTCGCCGTCGCTTTCTATCCACCAAAACTACCGATAATGTCAATGACAACATCAATTATTTCGTTGTCAGTGAGGTTAAAAGATCGCGCGAGTCAGGAATTTTAATATATTTAAAAGTGCAATTCTAAATAGACACATTGAAAATGTCTCTACGTCTTTGTCAAACGTTGACAATTCGCGTTACGTTTATTGGATTTCTTATTTCTACCCTTTTATCGCGATACGTAAGAGTGAGCAACGTGTACGTTTATCAAGAGGTCTTACGTAAACGTGAATTACATAGTCTACCGGGCAAAAAATTGCATATTTTCTTTTTTTTCTTTATTTAACAATATATCGAACTTGACTGTACTCGTATACTTGGGTATATTATGTTATTGTTTTTCTTTTCGTACCGATGACACACGTCACGCGTGTTTGTGTATACTACCTTCGGAAATGTTTTATCAGCGTTCAATAAGTGTGTTACTTAGTAGTTAGACCCGTAAAACCAGGTAGCTTTGTGTAATTTTAGGTTATACGTAGATATTTATATGGATTTCCCTATTTTCGTAGATTCAGAAGCAAGGATGTGTCACGTTGTTACTAGCTTTTTTCCTCCTTAATTATACCACACGTATTATTGTGCTTGCCATATTCGATAGCATTTAGAATTGTGACGTATACGTTCATCCTTCGAATACAGTATTTACATGGTCGAGTAATATAGCGTATTCGTTGTGTTAGTGATACAGATTTTTGATATCGCCATTCTAATTATCCTATTAATGAAAATTCGAAATATATATATATATATATATATATATACGATTCAAAGTGTTGAATATTAAACTTAAAACTGTCATTTTGAACCACATTTATTCCAGTGTTGCCAACTCGTGAATTTTCATCGACACGTATACAGTCACGTATCTTTCAATTCTCGATTCAGGTATTAATAAGTAATTTTCTGAAATCGTTACTCGATCGTAACGGATCATCGGAATATCCGATTTTTGTGGATTTGAATATTTTTTGGAATTCTCGCGATATGGAAATGCGGCCGTATCGTTGTCGCGGCGATAAAATTATCGCGGCGGCTACCCAATGCGTTTTCCGCGTAGGAATCACCCTTGAAGGAAGAAAGCACAACGACGTCGATAAATCGCGACCGATATCGTCGCGTACGAGCGGTTTAAGTGCCGGCGTGCGAATTTCACGCGTCGGCAGCGCGCAAAGCGGCCGTTAGCCGTAAACACAAACCGTATAGAGGCGAACTGTAAAATATATAATCGCACACGTGCGTATTTTTTTTCCCCCGTGTCGCGCTCAGCGCCGAAGAACATGGCGACGGCTCGCGTGAACCGATTTCTGAGTGACGAGGTCGCTTTTAACGCTTTAATGCTCTGCGGTTTATTTTTTTTCCTTTTTTCACTGTGCTTCTTCTTTTCCGTTTCCGCGTGATGCGGTTGGAAACGTATGATTTTATCGCGGCGCACAACGAAAGGAGCGGATAAAAAACAAAGAGGGAAACCAGAGACGGGCTACAGATAGCGCTGTTCGTTTCAATTAGGTGCGCCGTTATTTTTGCCAACGGCCTCGAACGTTAATTTATCGTCTTATGGAAATGATTCGGCGCGAGCTTCGATCACTGCGTTCTATCGCGTAAAAATATATGGTGCCGCTTTTCGACTATTTATACTTGTCGAGACGCGTATCTCTTGTTGGAACATTTTGTGCGTTATCGAGTGCGCGGATTATACACGGTGGCATGATAGAAATAGAACGTTCGATTAACGAAGTTGTGTATTAAAATCTTTAATAGTCGATATAGAAATTCAGACAATTATCTATTTCAGAAATATTTTATTTTGCATTGTTCGTGTCCTAAAGGTTAGTTTTTCATGTTTCAAGGTTATACGTGTTTTCTTTTAATGAAGCAATTTTCACAAATTGTTAAATTTTATGTAAATATGTGTATGTGTTTCTGTCAGTGCAAATATTCTATTTCTAATGGGATACCGTGTGTATTCGTCCAATATTTCCCATTACAAAGTGAAAACATTAAATTATTGAAATATAAATATGTCACGAATAATAATTATCGCAAATTTGAGCTGCTATACAATTTCCAAAGTATTGATTATTATATACATAATTCTCACAGGAATAAAATATAATTTGGAAATTGTAATTTGAAAACAATTGAAAAATCGAATTATTTTCTTTTATTTTTTTTTTGTTTCAGATATCGTTCTTACGCGATATTCTTTAATCCCATTTTCATCTTCGATCATTTCTCTCGCTTATGCGAATTGACTCTCGATTCGACGTTTTATCCAGCCACGAGGTATAAATATTACTGTTAATAGTTCTATATTCGGCGGCCACTGTTCCAAGCTTCCACGTACTATTTTTAAAATTAGCCATCCTGTCCGGTGCCGTATTGAAATATGCCCGATATCACGTGACATGTGATCGGCGCGCGGCGTCCAATCAGAAGCGACTTAGAAGTTTTCAAGTATCAAGGAACGGAACGGAACGTTATTATTCAAACTGGAATTTTATTTTTCGCGCGAAATGCTACAGGTACTGTGGCGTCGAAAAGGTTAATTATCGATTACTCGACACGGTATCACATG